TCCTCCTCCTCCTCCTCCTCCTCCTCCCCCTCCTCCCCCTCCCATTCCTCCGCCTCCTCTCCCTCCTCCCCCTACTGGACCAACTTTTGGATTCACGCTGGAGGGACGAACGTGCTGCAGAAACCAGGCCGGCGTTGTGGCAGCCTGGCTAAGGAAAACCGGTCCCTCTACAGGAGGAACATCAAACAATAATCTAAAGAAATAGTCTTGGGACGATGTTTGGGCATGTTTGGCTATTTGGTGGCGTGCTTGGCGTATCTTTTATGTGTCGTCCAACATCCTCCTGTAGGGGGACATGCCCGATCAAACTGTAGGCCTACAGCGACATGCTCTTAGAACCAATGAATGCTCCAAGAACAGGAGCAGTGTTCTTAGAACATAAGCCCGATGTGCTGAAGACAAGACAGACTCCGCCAGGACTGTTCTCATAACATGTCGTGCAAGCCACAAAAGGGTATTCGAACATTCTTTGGTGGGCCCATGAGCGAGCCAGGACGCTTCGCCACTGCTTGACCCGTGTTCCCTGGCTTCCCCCCCGTTCGCTCTCCCTCCCTCACGCGCCGCCATGGCTCTGCCCGGCCGCTCACCGCCGCCGCCCCGGGCTGCTCGCAGCCGCCGCCCGCGCCGGCCCTCCGGGCTTGGTCCTGCCACCCGCCGCAGCTGCCCCAGCTTCTGCTGGCAACCACGCCTGGCCCCTCCCTGGGGCAGGGCGGCCTCCAGGCTTCGACAACATTCGTTCTATATTTTGCACTTCGGGGTGGTACCCACCCCCGCACTGCGCCCCCTGCCTCGCCGCCGACGAAGCGTCAAGTCGGCAGCAGAACACTGAGGCCGAAACTCATGGCAATCGCCCGTCGTGGTGACAAGCCGACTGCGTTCGAGGCATTCGCTGGCTCGAGGCTCTCCAATAAAGAACCAGCATGACCGAGGCCACTCTTCAGAAGTCGCACAATTGCTCCCGCACATTAGCTGGCGACATCTGGTTCCAAATTCGCGTCGCCAAACTCCTCAAGCAGCTGCCATCCCTGCCCCAACTGCCCTGCTCTCTCGCGTGATTGGGTAGCAATGCTAGCAGTGATGGCATCTGGCTCCAACTTAGATTCCCTCAAGTCTCTCAGCAACGACAGCGCCCGCTTCCACTCCAAGCTCATCCCGCACGCACTCATCACAGCGCTATAAGTTCTGGTGTTCGGCTTCACCCCCGCCTCCCACGCTTCCGCCAACAACGACAATCCAGTTTCCCACTGATCACCTTGTCCACAAGCATGGATCGCAACGTTAAAAGTAATGGCGTCGGGCTCCACACCCTCGCCCTGGAAAAGCCTCAGCAACGACATCACCACCTGCCATCGCCCACTTCTCGCGCAAGCGCTGATTGCACTATTCATGCTGACTAGGGCTGGGCGGCCAGTAGCCGAATATTCAATGACAATCAGTGCGTCGCTGGTGGAAAAGAGGTCAGACGTGTTTGCCAGCATGGGCCCCAGACGATGAGTTTTCGCACCCTGAAGGTACAAGCTATGTGGTGCAACATGCGTGCTGCAATAAATACGGTGTAGGCTGTGTGGTGGAAGCTACGTGGTGCAATATATCTGGTGCAAGCTATGTAGCGTGTGGTGTAATATCTCTATATATACGGAGAGAGAGAGAGAGAGCAAGTTGTCTGGTGCAAACTATGAGGTGCGACCGATGGCGAAACATGGAAAACAAAAAGAAAGCATCGAAAACATGGAAAACATGCTCCAAACAAAACCCAAAACAGTCAAACAATGCTCAACAAATTGGCCCCCATACTATTGTTGTTGACTGTTTCTGAATACTCCCCCTGTAGAGGGACAGGCCCGACTTAATGCAAGCACTGTGTGGGAGAAAAAACACCTGACGGTGAGCATCGGCTGCGAAAAATCGCCACGGGTTTGCGCCAGGCCCTGAGTGCTGGTGGGCCAGATTGAGTGGGGGTGCTCGTGGCGAGGCGGGGCGGGAGAGGTGTCGTGTCCGTGTCTCAAAATGCTCATGCCCATGCAGTTCGCGCTGTGGATGTGCTCCTGCGTTCCGCAGCGGGTTCCACACTCCGTGTTCGAGCTCGATACTTAGCACATGCACGGCAGGAATGATGTGTAAGTCTAGCTGCCATGTATTAGCTTCCACCTTCACTGTAGGATGTCGGTTCAGTGTATGTGGTTCGGTTCGTTTGTGCAATTCCGCACTGTTTGTCGGAGGCGAGGGGGTACGATCGCACTGAAAAGGAGAACCCCCACCGGGAACTCGGTTTCGGTTTCGGAACCCTCCTCTGGCTAGAGCGCCGCCGGGCCAAAAAACCGCCCCCTCCGGATTGTCTAGCTAAGCCGGGGTGTCCGGCGGGTGTCCCGCCGATGTCCCGTCGGTGTCCCGTCGGTGTCCCGTCGGTGTCCCGTCGGTGTCCCGCCGGTGTCCCGCGGTGTTCCGTCGGTGTCCCGTCGGTATCCCGTCGGTGTCTCGTAGTGAGATCGGTAGTATAATCGATAGTAAGGCTCATAGTGAGATCGATGGACCGATCGATCGTGAGATCGATAGTGAGATCGATTGTGAGATCGGTAGAGGGATCGATCCTGGAAAGATTCATAGTGAGATCGATTGTGAGATCGATTGTGAGATCGAAAGTGAGATCGACTGTGAGATCGATAGTGAGATCGATAGTGATATCGATCGAGTGTGATCGATTGTGAGGTCGACAGTGGTATCGATAGTGAGATCGATAGTGATATCGATTGAGTGAGGCGTTTTCTACACACCGAACCTCGTTATCACCCGAAAGGTGGTCGTATAAGTTTGAGGTTGGGGGGTGAGATCGCAGTGGAACGGAGAGCCGCCCACCGGGAAATCGGTTTCGGTGTCGTGTTCGTGTCGTGAGTGCGGGCGAGGCACAGCGGCGTGGGGGGACGAAAGGAATGATGCCGCCGTGGCCAGGGGCTGTGGAGCCGGTTGTCCGTCCCCCCCCCGCCCCAGCGCGGGGTGGCCAGGGGTGTCCCAACGGTGGCGCGTCGGTGTCCTGTCGGTGCCCCGTCGGTGGCGCGGCGGTATCCCGTCGGTGGCGCGCGGTGTCCCGTCGGTGGCGCGGCAGTGAGATCGATAGTGAGATCGATAGTGATCGATTTTGAGATCTGTTGTGAGATCGATTGTGAGATCTGTTGTGAGATCGATACTGAGATCCGTTGTGAGATCGATAGTGAGATCTGTTGAGAGATCGATGAGGAGATCATTTGTGAGATCATAGTGTGATCGACAGTGAGATCTATTATGAGATCGATCGTAGGATCGATTGTGAGATCGATAGTGCGATCGATGGTGAGGTCGATTGAGATCGACAGTGAGACCGATATTGAGAACTGTTGTGAGATCGATAGTGAGTCCGATAGTGAGATCGATAGTAAATTCGATTGTCAGATCGATAGTGAAATTGATTGGAAGATTGATCGTGAGATCTGCTGCGATATTGATCGTGAGATTGCTTGTGAGATCCATAGTGAGATCGATTGCCAAATCGATCGTGAGATCGACTGTAAGATCGATAATGAGATCTGATGTGAGATCGGTAGTGCGATCGATAGTGAGATGTACTGTGGGATCCATTGCGACATGTGTTGTGAGATCGGCAGTGACATCTGTCGTGAGATCAATGTTGAGATCGATTGTGAGATCAATACTGAGTCCGATTGTGAGATCGATAGTAAGTTCGATTGTCAGATCTATGGTGAGATCGGCTGGAAGATCGATAGTGAGATCGGTTGTAAGACTGATCATTGGACCTCTTGTGAGATCGATAGTGCTTTCGATTGTCAAAACGGTAGTGAGATCGACTTTGAGATCGGTAGTGCGAGCTGGCGTGAGATTGATAGTGCGATCGATAGTGAGATCTGTTGTGAGATCGACTGTCACATTTGTTGTGAGATCGATAGCGAGATCTGTCGTGAGATCGATGCACGTCGTGTGTAGTGATATCTGTTGTGAGATCGATGGTGAGATCTGTTGTGAGATCGGTGATGAAATCGAACGTGAGATTTACATTGGGATCTGGAGTGAAATCGATTGTGAGATCGATTGTGAAAGCGATTGTGAGACCGATAGTGAGATTGATGGTGAGATCGATCAGATCGATGATGAGATCGATTCGAAGATCGATAGTGAGTTCTGTTGTGGGATCGCTCGTGATATCGCTTGTGAGATCGATCGTGAGTTCGTTTCTAACGACAGTGAGATCGATTGTGAGACCGATCGTGAGATCTATTGTGAGATTAATAGTGAGATCGATTGTGAGATCGATAATGGGATCTGTTGTGAGATCGAGAATTTGATCGATGTGAGATCAATTGAATGAGACGTGTGTTCCCCCTCCCCCCGGAACCTCCACATCACCAGAAGAGTGATCGTGTAGGTATACATGCATACATACATACATGCATACTGTACATAATGTCGGAGATTCGGGGCGAGTTCGAAGTGAAACGGAGACACCCCACTGACTGGCGTGTCGTGCGTGCGAGAGAAATGAGCCCGCCGTTGCCAGGGCCAAACGGAATTCAATGACTCTACCCCCCCTGGTTTGCTGGCGGTGTCCCGGGTGTGTCCCGCCGGTGTGCGTGGTGTCCCGTGGTGTCCTATGGTGTCCCGTGGTGTCCCGTGGTGTCCCGTGGAGTCGATTGCGAGATCAATGTCGAAATCGATAGTGAGATCGATAGTGAGATCGATAAACCAATCGATAGTGAGATCGAAAGTGAGGACGACTGAGATCGATGGGTAGTGAGCTCGATAAATAGAAGGAAATCGGTAGTGAGATCGATTGGGAGATTGATACAGAGGTAGTCGGATCGACTGATGTTGAGGCCGATGGATACCGAATAGTCAAGCCACTCGATTGTAAGATCGCGAGTCAGATCGCTGGTGACATTGATACTGGGATCGATAGTGGGATCGCTAGTGAAATCGATTGAGTGAGACGTTGGCTCCTTTCCCCCCCCACACGCACAATCACCTGGTCACCCGCAGGGTGGTCGTATGGGTATACGTGTATAGACGTATGGGTAGACGTGTCGACGATAGTGTAAAATTGGCGATCGCGTTAAAGGACGCCGTAGCTCACAACGTGAGGACACCATGGAACACCGCAGGACAACAACCAATGAGCTTTAGATGTCGCTTTCGCGATCCCACAGTCGGATAGGACAGCACATGACATCGCCCATACACTTCAGGCTCAGCTAGCCCAGAATGTAACTGAGCTTCACGTTCAAACCTACTGCTTGTGTTCGGCCCCGCTTTACCCTCGGCTCTCGCGCCTCCCTTCCCCAAACAGGGACCGCACCACGGGACTCCTGCCTTCTGTGGTGATGCACTTCCCCATGATCGCCAGCTTCCGCCGGCGGGCGCCGTTGGGTCCTGGCGAAGAGCGCCTGGTCCTGGTGGCCCCGGATGCCGGGTCCAACGGCAGGTGAAACTGGATCTCAGCGCCTTCGTGGGCCCAGATGCCTGGTCCAGCCTTGGGCGCCACGGGTACCCTTCCAACAAAATCCCACGCGTAGGGCCTAACCCACAGGCCCCAGCCATAGGGTCCCTCCCAGACCGGCACACCCACATGCTTACAGGGGACGCACAAAGACATACTAGTACTATATGTTCTCCTTGGATACGCGCGTCCGACCCAAACATATAGTATACCAATCTGGTAGTATACCGTTTTCCGAGCGGCGTGGCCAGAACGCGCCCGCAACGACGCATACACTAGAAGATTTATCGGTGCGCGCATCGCCCGCAGGGGGGCGACGCACATATAGTATCAGCATCTTGGGGTGACGCCGATTACCTCCCACGCACAAGCCCCCTTGGACTCATGGAGCCCCGCACACGGAAAGCTAAGTATGAGACAGAGTCCACCCGCAGGGGTCCACCCACCCACATGGACTTCTTCTCATAGTAAAGACTATTTTTTGAATTCAAAAAACTAATGGTTGATTTCAAAAAACTGGTTTTTTGAATTCAAAAACCAATTCAGAAAACTTGTTTTTTTTGAATTCAAAAACCAGCTGAATCACGACGCTGCGGCGACGGGAAGAAACGGAGTGACGAGGAGGCGAAGGCTAGCAGGATTATCACCCCCGACTCCCCCGATGCCAAGGCTTCAGTCGGGCCTGTCCCTCTACAGGGGGAACAATCAAAAATAGTCAGAACATAGTATGGGGAGGATTTCTTGTATTTCTGAATCCTTTGGAAATTATTTTCAACTATTTAATGTTTCCTCGACAATCGGCCTCTAGGAGGACAGGCCCGACTTAAGCCAAGACGGTTACCGTCGCGCGCCCTGCCTGTGCGCCATCCGACGGCAAGCTCTGGGAGTTGCACCGAGCGGCACAGCAGGCCCGCATCATAAGGATGCGCGATAAGAATGCAAGGGCCTTGGACGCCCGTGTCGAAGCTTCTCGAGCGGGGCGCGGCCGACGAAAGTAGCCAAGGATGGACCGAGGAGGCAAGGATGCAAGGGTCATCCTTGGGAAGGTTGCCCATCCTTACTTTGCGGGTTGACTGTAAATGGATGAGCGCCGGCGTGGCTGGCGGGCGAAGG